CTGGGCGGAGCCAGGCCGCGCGCTCGCGGTTCGCCGCAGGGTGGGCGCTGCGCCCGCCGCAACCCCTCCGGGCGCCCCTGGCCTCCGCCCGACAGGGCCGGCGCCCCCTGCAGGCTGCGGGGATGCCGCCGCTCGCAGGCCCCGTGCGCGCCGCGTGCGCTCTCTTGGCCCCGGGCGCCCCAGGAGAGCGTCGTCCCGCCTCCCCCTTCCCATCCTCCCCCCCACCCCCCAGCAGTGCACGGTTCCCGCCGGGCCGAGTGGTAGGGTTTCTGCTGTCGCGGCCCGGTCACATGGCCAGGAACACAACTCCCAGCGACAGCCTTCCTGCCGAATCCGGTGTCTTCTTCCACCGAATCCACTTTCCGCCGGAGAGATGGCTCTCAGCTTTTCCTGTTCGGTCTCCTCGTGGGACTGGGAGTTCCTCCAAGGCAGGAGCGGGTGTGTACCCGGCCCCCAGCCGGTCCCAGCCCCCAGTGCAGGGCCTGGCACGCGCCAAAGACTCACGGAAGAAATGCTCGTTAACAAAGAAGGCATGAATGAATGAAACCAATTGTTGCCTGAAGGAGCCCAGGAGGGTGCTGCTGGGGCTTCTCCTCCTGCCGATCACACACTCCTCCCCAGACACGCACAGGCACACGTGCAGACAGCCTGGCCCCCGCCTCCACGCAGACGGGCACGCAAGCAGTGCACGCGGACTCCAGCCCGCACGGAACCAACCTACTGCGTGCTGTCCAGGCACTTTGGGCCCCGTTGGTCGCAGCCAGACCTCCTGCCTCTCAGAGTCTCTGGCCCCCCTCGCAGCCCGGCGCCTCCACACCTAAGTACTGTACCTGGGCCCCAAGTGTTGCCTTTATCTCCTGCGGAAGAGGTCAAGCCGGTCGCTGGGGAGTGTCGGGGTCTGCTTAGGGAGGCACGGGGGACCTCAGGCTGCTGAGCTGCTGCCGGAGGAGAGCCAGAGGTGCGAGGCAGGGATGCCACCAAATGCTGCAGCCTCTAGAGCCCGCTTGCCAGGTGTGGGGGGAGAGTGGTGGGAGGGACTCGAGATGTGCTGGAGGGTGGCGAGGGCTCTTGGCCATGGGGGCGGGGCAATCAAGCAGGTGTGCCTGCGTGTTGGGGTGTGTGAGAGGAGGGCGTGTTGGGGATGCTGAAGGTGTGTGCCTGGGGAGTGCGGAGTGTCGGCCGCTGGGCTGTGGGTTTGTGTTGGAACTTGGCTCCTGGGTGGGTGGGCGGCCGCGTCTCCGGGCTGGGGACGTGGGAGGGGTGTCTGTAGTGGGCATGTGTGGAGTTTGGGATGGTGGGCAGGGCTCGGGGAGCTATGGCAGTGCAGACGTCGCAGGGATGCGTTGGAAGCGTGTGTGCGCCTGGGTGTGAATGGGGCGTGGCAGCGTCTGGGATCGGTGTTGGCACGAGTTGGGGACCGCGGAGAGCGGTGAGTCCGGGATGCTCGTGTGTGCACTACAGGGACCCAGGTCCGCGGTGCGCTGGGTGTGCACGCGATTGTGCAGCCGGTGTGAGCGTAAAGCAACACGGGGAGCTGCTCGGGCAGGGAGTGGGGGTGTGCGGCGAATGGGTCTCTCGGGGACGCGTGCGTCGGCCCCGGGGGGTGTGCGCTGGCTGGACTTTAGGGGCACAAGGTAGAGGAGCGCACGTCGGGGGACAGCCAGGCCGAGTGGGGTGGGGGTGGGGTAGGGGCCCCCAGGCGCCCTGGGCTCTGCTCACCTCCGATGGGTTGGGCTTCGCGCGTCGTGGCCAGGAAGTTTCCGAAGCCCGGGCGGCGGGAAGCGCCACCGCCACTGCCGAACGCCACCGGAGCCCCGGGCGGCGGCCTCGCCTGGAGCGGAGGGGCCGCCGCTGCGGAGGGAAACTCCAAATCCCGCCTCCGCCGCCGCCTCCGCCGCCTCCGCCGCCGCCTCCTCCCCTCCCGTCGCCGTCTTCTCCGCCCCCTGCCCAGGAGGGGCACTGTCGCCGGCGGCGCGCGGGGAGGGAGCGGGGAGGGGCGGCGGCCGGCCTGGCGGCTCCGTCCGCCTCCCACGCCCCCGCCCGCCTTCCTCCCACCTGCCAGCATCTGCCCGCTCCGCCAGTGCTGCCCAGTGCGCCCCGCGGCTCCCAGCGCCCAGCAGCGCCTCCGCCGCTGGGGACCTGGAGCTTGAGGCGCGGGAATGGGGTAGAGAGCCCTGACCTAGGCTGGGCCTGGACTGGTGGTGGTGGTGGGGAGCCTGGCACCGCGGAGTCTACACTGGCACCCGTGCTTCTAGCTGGAGAAGCCAAGGGGCACGTGGAGGAGCAGGCCCACAGTGCCCTCCCCTCTGCCTTCTCCCCAAGTCCTTCGGCACTGTTTTCTGTCATTGTCATATGTGAGTTCTGGCTAATAGTAATAGCATTTGAGCCTTAGTGCCTGGAAAGGGTGGAGCCAGGGCGTTGGGGGAGGGGCGGAGAGCCAGCCGGCTGGGGGTGCTGTCACCAGGTCCCTTTTGCTTCCCTCTGCACCAAAGGTCACGAGCATTCCCATTAAGGACCTTAATTTATATCTATGTAGGTTCTGGACGTCTTGAGGAACAGCTCGGGAAACTGAGGCAGGGGTCTCCCCGTGGTTGTGCAGTAATGTAGCGGTCCGGGGGGCTGAGTTCTGAAGCTTAGAGCCTCAGCTGCGTGGGGGCACGGAAGACCCGTGGGGTTCCAGGACTCAGCTCCCCGCTGTTGGGGAAGGGAAGGCCCAGCACCTCCCGGCCAACAGCGGGTGAGAAGCAGCTGGAGGCTGCGGGCGTTAAGAGCTGGCTTCTCAGCCTGGGGCGCAGCGGCAGAGGGTGAGTCCAGGCAGGGCTGGGCTGCCAGCAGCTCCATGGATGAGGGGCAGCCAAGGGAGGCCTGGCCTCTGGGCTCCTGTCTGCTGCGGCGCTGAATTCCCTGAGTCATTAGCCCTGGAGAAGAGAGGACGGCGGCAGCTCTGTCTCTGGCGCCTGCGTCTCTGTCCCACCTCCGGGCCTCTGCCTCCTGGTCTGCCTGTCTGGGGCGGGAGGCGGGACCACGTGATCGCCAAGCGCTCCCCTAACTTTGCAGCGCTTTCGCTCCAGGCAGGGTGCTGTGGCCCACAGCCCGGCCTGCCTGCTCTGGCCTTTGGTTGCCACTGTCCTTCACCTTGTCAGCCTCTGCTCTGGCGCCCTGCCTTGGAGGGGCGCGCTGCAGACTCCACCTCCCGGGGCTCTTGTGCCCGCGTCACACCTGCCCGCTGGCCAGCTCCCTGTGTTTCTTTGAGTCTGTACTGCCGGTTGTTGTGAAGCTATGGGACCCTTCCTGAGAACTCGACCCATGATGAAAGCATAGCACCCTACCCCATCAGGAAAATACATGGGGACAAAAGAGAGGGCTGGCTCTCACCCCTGGCCGGTCCTGCCGTCTGGAGAGAGGACATGCGGCAGCTGTGTTCATGGCTTGGACACGCAATTGGCCCCCCGCTGACTCAGAGGAGTTTCTAGAAAGGTTGGAGTCCCCCCCAGCCCCCCAATCCTGCGCTTTAGTGACTCAGGGCTAGAAGACTGGGGGAGGAGCATTTGGATGGGATCCTGCTGCCTCCAGCCTTCCCACAGTGGCTCTGCTCTCCAGGCAACCAGGCGCACCCATCGCTCCAAGAGGACAATGTAAAAGATGCCTGGGAGCTCTCAAGTCTCTGGCCTGGTTCCCCTCCCCCTTCCTCCGGCCTGTGCCCTGCTTGGGAGCTAGAGACTGAAAATGTAGAACTTTCTCGAAGGGGACTTGAGTGAGAACATCTCCAAAAGCTGCCCAGGTCCTGCTGGGTTGCCCCTGATGGAAATTTCCGGGTGGGGTGACTGGTGGGCTCCAGCCCTCGCCCTGTCTCCATGCCACTGCCCCGGCACCTGTTCCCAGACCCCCAGGCACTCAGCCTTTGCCAAGGCCACCAGGAGATGCTCCTGCCCTGCCCCGGCCCTTGGGATAGTCCTTGGGAAGTGACCGTCTCGTTTCCTGCCCGGGGCCTCAGGCTGTCCTGAGCCCCTAAGGTGCCCGCTCTGAGACTCTGAGAGGAGCCTCAGGCGTCAGCAGCCCCGGGCACAGGGCGTGGGGTGGAGAGCTCTTCAGTCAGGCAGTGCCTCTGCCTCGGTGGCTTGCAGCTGAAGGCACCTGAGCTCGGCTCCTGGGCCACTGGCTCTGGGGAGAGGCACGGGACAGGGACTGCACACACTGCCCGGCTTGGCAGGGCTTCGGCGGGCGTCTTCTCCACGCGCTGCATGGTGCAGAAGCGCCTTATGTGCCCACAGCCACTTCTGCCAGGACCATGCCTCGACATTTTACTTTTATGTTTTCAAAAGCGATGTATTTATTTATTTATCTGAAAGTCAGAGTTACACAGAGCAAGGGAGAGAGAGAGAGAGGGAGGAAGAGAGAGCTCTTCCACCCGCTGGTTCACTCCCCGATGGCTGCCAAGCCAGGGCTGGGCCAGGCCGAAGTCAGGAGCCAGGAGCTCCATTCTGGCCTCCCACAGGGTGCAGAGGCCCAAGTACTTGGGTTGTCTACTACTGCTTCCCCAGGCACGTTAGTAGGGAGCTGGATTGGAAGCAGAACAGCTGGGACTCGAACCGGCGCTCTGATATGGGGTGCTGGTGTGGCCAGTAGCTGCGTAACACCCTGCACCGCAATGGCAGCCCCGGGCCTAGACATTTGAAACAAAGTGGCCCTCTCGTAGCCCTGGTGTCTACCCTGTGCTCTCACTGATGGCTGGGGGCCAGGTTCTCGGGAGCTGTTAGCAAACCCATTCCCGGAGGCTCCGGATCAGGGCCAACCATCTGGTTACAAAGCCCCTGCGGCCCGCTGCGTGGCCTCTCTCCTCTCGACCTCTCTGAGCCGCAGCGTGGCAGCTGTGTAAGGCAGAGTCAGGCACCCTGGGTGCTCGCGTCACCCAGCCCCTCTGCTGTGGGCCCTCCTTTGCTCTGCCTGGCGCAGAAGGCAGGCTGCCTTGAATGACCGCTGGTATTGTGGCCGTATTTCTGGGTCCCCATCACGAGGAACGTGCCTCGGCAGTGGGCCGGCTGATGAGCGGCAACAGGGTAAGGTTGGAGGCAGGCAGCCCTGGTCCAGCCGGCCCGGGCAGGGGCTGGCAGCAGGCTCGGGTGTGGGGGGGTGGGGGGCTCCTGGAGAGGCCATGGGTTTTCCTCACCTCACTCTTCGGAGCCCCCTACTCTCTCGGTCACTTGTACTTAGTACCCCAACCTTCCTGCTACTGGCTCTTCCCTGCCTGTAGACCAAGGCTCACCCAGCACTGTCCCAAGCCCCTGCAGGCAGCCGTGGCAACGCGGGGGCATCGGGAGCTACCTGCAGGCAGGAGATCGGAGCTGACCGAGCTAGGTGGCCTCCAGGAGGACGCCTCGGGCCAGGGTGTCCTTGCCACACACCCAGTCCATCCGCCCTTGGAAGCACTGCTGGCTGTAGCCGGCAAACTTGAGGATGTGCCCGCCCTCCTTACACGTGCGGAGGACTCCTGGGCAGGCCCCTTGGTCAATAACAGTGGCTGGCTGGGAGGAGTGGACAAGGGACTCCTCCCTCTCAGTACCAGGGGGAAACTGAGGCACAGATGGACAGGTGACCCAGGCAGCATCCGGCAACTAGCAAGGGAGGAGCCAAGGCCAGGTGACGCCCTCCCCCACCCCACCAGAGCTTTCAGAGGGGCTCTGCGAAGCTGTGAGTGCATTCACAGGTACAAAACCCCCAGTGCAGAGAGCGCCTGGGCCACCCTTGAGTGTCCCCATCCCCCACCCCATCAGGAGGACCTTGCCACCAGGGAGGGTCGCACTATCTGCCAGCTCTATGGGGGACTTTTCCTGTCTAAATTTAGAGAGTAGCTATCACTCCTCCCTGCCTGCTTCCCACGTGGCGACTCCTTTGCATCCTGAGAGCCCCTTCTGAGGGGCGTGTAGATCGTCTGTCACAGAGCCGGTGCCACGTGACCTGCCCACAAGAGCGGCCATGAAGCCTGAGGATCCCGTTGCAAACACAAAGGTGCCGGCCGTGCCCTCCGCTGGGGTGGCACACACAGGCATCTGGGCTGGGCTGGGTCACTGTGCCTCCAGAGCTGTCGCCCTTTTGTCAGCGCCCATGGGGTGCCTGGAGCCATTTCGTCGTTAGGGTCAGTGGGGTCTGAGCACTCTCTGTCGGCCCTCTGCAGTGGGGGACGCTTGCATGGCACCGCACACTGCTGGGGCTTACGTGGTTGGTACGATGCAGTCCGTCACCCAGCCACGCTCGCCTCCTGGGATGTACGGCCTGGGTGCTGGCCAGAGCTGTGGGGACCATGGCCTCCTTGTGGCACTGGTTTTGAGGTGGGTGGGGCTGAGCCCCTCTGCTCCCTGTAGGTTAAACCATGCAGCGGTGGATCTTCCTCCAGGATCTTGGCCCTTCTGTCCCTCTCCCCGCCCCCAAACCATGCAGAGGCCACCACCTGGAGGTCCAAAATGGAGCCGCTGAGCTCCCAGCCTGGCGGGGCTGGTGGCAGGCCAGCATCTGTGTGCACACTCTGCGTCCCTCTGTCTGGCCTAGTCCTGGCTGGAACATCAAGCGACCCAGTGAAGCCACAGCAGAGGCTTGGAGACTCCCTGCTCAGCCTCTGAATGTTCTTTTGTGTCCTC